TCCCCAGACTTATAGCTGGGATACCAGCATGGGACTGATCCAGACTCCAGGAATAAGGGTTTCAGTGAGGAAACCTCGGAAATCTACGGGACTTCCTGTAGTAGTTCAGTACTTATCACTAACATAGGTGTGGACTTTGGGAGCCCATTCCACATAGAGAGATACTCCCTGAGCCAAGACACATGGGGGTGGGCCTAGGCCCTATCCCAAAGGATATAATAGACTCTGATGACGCCCTATGGAAGGCCTCACCCTCCAGTGGGAGCACAAGGATATGTGATAGGTAGGGTTTTAGTTGGGGAGGGTGGTAGGGGAGGAAGGGAGGGAGAGGGAACTGGGATTTACATGTAAAATAATCTTTCTAATTCAAATTTAAAAAAGAAAAGAAAAAAGTTCTTTTTTTAGGAGGGATAAAAGTGTTCTAGAATTGACTATAGTATAATGTGTGCATGAATAAATGTACTAAGAATCATTGAATTATTAAAACTAGATGGGTTAATTGCATAGTAGGTTGATTATATCCCAATAAAACTGTTAGAAAACAAAGAATACTTCAGGAACTTATAGAAATTTAACACTGTTGTAATATCTAAGTGTGTGATCCTTTTCTCTAGTTTGCTGTTTCTATTTTATTTTATTTTACAAAAATGATCAGTCCACAGCAGATTGGAAAAGATAAAAAAGATCCCCACCCACACCAAGACAATGCTCAAGTATATTTCATTATTGAAAAATGTGATTTTTTATCACTTAATAAAGAATTTGCTCTCCAGAAACAAAATTGATTTCATTATGTATTAATGGGTTGTGATCTGGATTTTAACAAATATGGTAGCATCCATATCTATAGGGTCTATACCTATGGATTTAACCAATTGTGAATAAAAGAAAAGAAAAGCATCTGTACTTAACATATTCTTTTCAAAGCTTCCTAAATAATACAGTATAACACTTACCTACATAGCATTTAACTGCATCGGGTATTATAGGTAATAGAGAGGGGATTAAAAGTATCTAGGAGAATGTGTATGCATGAAATTTAAATTCTGTGTCATTCTATGTAAGGGACCTGATTGATGCATAGTATTCATTGGGATCTT